GCTGTGCTGAGAGCTGGCAGCCAAGCCCAGGCATTTAATCACACTGCTGCAGAGAGCACTTCGGCGGGGCGTGTCCACGTGGACAATTATTTTAGGAAAGCCGTGGAGGCTGCCTCTCCTGGCCACTTAAATCTTGCTTCTCTTTTGCAATTCAGTATTTCAATTGTTGAGAGAACATGGATTGTTTGCTTCAAAGCACAGGGTAGGAGCTGCAGAAAGGAGATGTTAATTCTGTTGTACTGGGCAGCTCTGTTTCTGTACAAGTGAGAATTTTAGTGGGGGGGGGGTGTCAATAATTGCTTGGGGATCAAAGCCTGGGGAACAGGGATGGGAAGCTGGGACTCACATTCATTGTTTTTGTGTTGCATTGTGTTGTGTGTGTGTTTTTAAAGAACTGGATTTGTTCTGAAAGGAAGCAGAGCCAAGGGGGAAGCTTTCTTGAGTCACCCATCTTGTCTTGGGTCACTTCTCGTCTTGGGTTGCCTGTCTCGTCTTGGGTCGGGCTCGCACAGGGCAGAGCTGGAGGAGACGAGTTGAGCACAAGCATTCACCGTCAGGTGATCCCAAGAAGAACCAGTGGGGGGAGTGAGACCAGAAGCCGAGGAAACCCATGAAGGGTGAGCCAGTGAGCAGTGTACTGCCGTGGGCACCTGGAGCGCTGGTCCTAATAGGCTCCCCTGGGGAACTGTGCAGTGTACACCTCAGGGAGAGGGGTGGGACTTATCAGTAACTCCCATGAAGCGTGGATGGGGCCTGTGGGTGGGAGGGACTGCTTGCCTAGTGCAAAGGCAAAGCGGGCTCAGACCACCAGAGAAAGCCCATGGCAGTGAGGGATCCTGGGCAATTCTGCAGAGTCACGAGCCAGGCTCCTCCTGAAGCACACCTGCATGTGAGGCAGTCTGGGGAGGTGAGTGACTCCGTTCCTCCACAGGGGAGATGTGGATGTGTAAAAAGGGGGTTCTCCCAACTCAGAAGTGTGTGTGTAAGGCACAAAGAATGACTAATTACAGTAGTTTTAGATGGCATTTCTGAATGTTTTTTTCCCTTATAAATTAGTGAGGAGTCAAACTCATCTGTACAATTATATCACTTGCTCACATTTCAATAAGCTTTAAAAAAAGACTTTATTGAATGAGAGAGAGAGAAAGGTGGGCGTATAATAGCTGGAGACTCTGAGATTGTGCGTAATTCACAGCCTGGCTTATCTCTGCTACAACTCCTGGGAACAGCCTCAGTTAACAGCCTGCAAATGATCAATTATTGTGGGGCTTTGTTTCTCTGTAAAACACTTGGCTTTTATCAGAATTTCTTCGGTGTCTGTAGGAATGCATCCTGATTAGGACCAGAATCTTTCATTTCCCACCTCTCTGTTCACCACTCATCATCCCTTGCCTGGATGTGCAGTCACTTTTGCCCTGATCTCCTGCACTGGCCCAGCTCCCCAACCCCTACAGTCTGTTCCCCCCACAGCAGCCAGAGGGCGCCTGTGAGTTAGGTCATGTCCATCCTCTGTTCAGAACCCTCATGGCTCCCATTTGACTCAGAGCAAACAACAGATCCTCCCTGCTGCCTACAGGCCCTGGGCATGCTTCCCTGTCTCCTCCCTGCCCTCATCTCCCTCCTCCCCGCTCCCCCACCGCCACTTACCCCTTTGCTCACTCTGCTCCAGCCACACCAGCCTCTTCCCTGTTTCCTAAACGTGCTAAGGAATGATCTTGCCTCAGGGCCTTTGCACCTCCTGTTCTCTCTGTCTGGAACATACTGCCTAGATAGCTAGCCACATGATTCTCCCTCGCCTTCTTCAAGTCTCGACTCAGATGCATCTTCTAGTGGAGGCTTTCCCAGGCCTAAAACTACAACCCCTAACAACCCCAATCCCTGTGTCCCCTGTCACTTCTTCCCTGCATTACCTCTCTCTGTGGCACTCATTGCCCTTTAAACACGAAATGTTTACTTTACACTCAGATGTAAAGTAATAAACATTACTTACACGTGATGTTTATTTCTGTGTCTCTAATGTGCACTTCTAGAAGAGTTTTGTGTTTGTGTTTTGTTCACTGCTGTGTTTTCAGGGTACAGAACAGAGCTCGACACACAGTAGGTGCTTTACAAATACTTGTTGAACAAATGAGACCATCATGACCTAGTGAAAACAAGAGGATTGGGACTTGTGACAAACTCCAGTGCGTTCTGGGGAAGCTGAAGGGGTCCTGACCTGGGGGCCCAGCATGCGCCACCCAGTGGCAATCAGTGCTTATTGTTTTAAATTTTATTTTTCAGTTACGGTTGACATTCAGTATCATTTTATATTAGTTTCGGGGCACAACATATTGGTTAGACAATTATAAATTTACAAGGTGATCCCCGATAATTTGAGTACCCACCTGGCATTGTCATCCGTAGTTCTTGCAATATTATTGACTATATTCTCTATGTTGTACTTTACATCCCTGTGACTATCTTATAATTACCAATTTGTACTTCTTAATCCTTCACCTTTTCCACCCATCCCCTGATGTTCCTCCCCTCTGATAGCCATCAGTTTGTTCTGTGCATCTGTGAGTCTGTTTGTTCCTTTATTTTGTTCTTTAGATTCCACATATAAGTAAAATCATATGGTATTTGTCTTTCTCTGCCTCATTTAGCATAATACCCTCTAGGTTCATCAGTGATGTTGAAAATGGTAAGATGTAATTATTTTTTATGGCCAAGTAATATTCCATTGTATATATGTACTGCATCTTCTTTAACCAATTGTCTATTGACAGATACTTAGGTTGTTTCTCTATTTTGACTACTGTAAATAATGCTGCAATGAACATAAGGGTGCATATATCTTTTTTGAATCAGTGTTTTGGGGTTTCTTCAGCTATATACCCAGAAGTGGAGTTGCTGAGTTATAAGACAGTTCCATTTTTAATTTTTTGAGGAATCATCATACTGCTTTCCACACTGGCTGCACCAGTCTGCATTCCCACCAACAGTGCACAAGGTTTCGCTTTTCTCCACATCCTCTCCAGCACTTGTTTGTTGATTTATTGATGGCAGCCATTCTGACAGGTACAAGGTGATGTCTCATTGTGGTTTTAATTTACATTCTCTGATGATTAGTGACATTGGATATCTTTTCATGTGTCTGTTGACAATGTGTATGTCCTCTTTGAGAAGTGTCTATTTAGGTCCTCTGCCCATTTTTTATTGTAATTGTCACTCATGGATGTATTTATTGATTTTAGAAAGAGAGGAAGGTGGGGTGGGGGGAGAGAGAGAGAAAAAAAACAGATGTGAGAGAGAAATGTTGATTGGTTGCCTCCTGAGGGCCCCTGACTGTACGTGTACTTTTTCTGATGTATGGGATGATGCTCCAACCAACTGAGCCACCTGACCAGAGCTGCTCATTATTTAAAAAAAAAAAAAAATTAGAGAGAGGAGAAGGGAGGGAGAAAGAGGGGAAGAGGAACCTCGATGAAAGAGAGAAACATCAGTTGGTTGCCTCTCATATACACCCCACCGGGGACTGAACCTGTGACCCAGTCAAGTGCCTTGACTGGGAATCAAACCAGTCACCTCTCACTTTGTGGGACAGTGACCAACCCACTGAGCCACACTGGTCATGGAGGACTGCTCATTTTTTAAATAGGATTTTTTTGGGCATTGAGTTGTATGAGTTCTTTATAAATTTTGAATACTAACCCCTCATTGAACACGTCATTGTCAAATATCTTCTTCCGTTTGGTAGGTAGTCTTTTTGTTTTGTTGATGGTATCCTTTGCTGTGTAAAAACTTTTTAGTTTGATGTAGTCCCATTTATTTATTTTTTTGTTTTCCTTGCCTGAGGTGATAAATCAGAAAAATACTGCTAAGAGCAATGTCCAAGTTTTGGCAGTGGGTGTGTTTTGAACTGTGTACAAACTTCTCTGACCGCAGAGGACCCCTTCTCCAGCACGCTGGGTGACACTGCCAGGGTTCCCAGGACTACGGCTTGGGAAACACAGCTGTGATCGATCCCGGAGCTGCCTGAGTGATGTAAACTAGCTTGAAGTTTCATTAGGAGGGGTCTGAAGGTGATGGCTTCTGTCAAGGGCCTGGAGGTCTCTGAGAGAATTGTCACCCTTTGGCCATTGCCTTGCTTGGGCTTCTCAGGAGCAGGGGCAGGGGTGGGGTGGGAACAACAGTGCGTATCCAGAGTTTATGTGTTGCCCTGGACTGGGGAAGCAGAAAGAGGGGTCCAGGTTTGGGTGTCAGTACAAGCAGGCTTCGTTCTGTCTTTTTCTAGAAACAGCCTAAGTGCCCATCAGTAGATGAGAAGATCAAAAAACTGTGGTACATTTACACGATGGAATACAATGTAGCAGAAAGAAAGAAGGAACTCCTACTTTTTGCAACGGCATGGTTGGAACTGGAGCCTATTATGCTAAGTGAAATAAGCCAGCCTGTGAAAGACAAATACCATATGATCTCACTTATAAGAAAAACCTAATGAGCAAAATAGTACCAGAGGCAAGAAACATGGAACAGACTGACAGTGGCCAGAGGGAAGGGGTGGGGGTGGATAATGATGGGAAGAAGGGGAAGGGATTAGCTAAAGGACATGTACGAATGACCCATGGACATGGACAGCAGTGTGGGGACTGATTGTGGGAGCAGGGGGTGGGATAGGTGGAGGAGGGCAAAAGGGGAAAAACTGGGACAACTGTAATAGAATAACCATTTTTTAAAAAGGCCAATCTCTAATGGTTGTTATGGAGGCAATGCTGTGTGTATGCAAACGTGTGTGATTGAATAAATTCCTGTCTTGTGGAAGGGCTCAAGTCCCACAACTCCTTGTCATGTTCTTTAACCCCTCAGTCTTGCCATCTGTAAAGTGGGGTTCCATGCATCAGACACTCGGCACCTACTCCGGCACGTTCCTGGGGTCCAGCAAAGGGCATCTCTTGTTTCTCTGGGTCCCCTGTCTCCCTCATTAGGTTCCTGCTTTCTAATCCCTGACCTCCCCACAGACCCTCTTCCAAAGCCCAGAGGAAGGCTGGCAACTGTATACTTCGGCCCAGGCCCCTGATGGGAAATGCATCTGCACGGCGGTGATCCCTGCCCAGAGCACCTGCTCCCGAGATGGCAGGAGTCGAGAGCTGCGGCAGCTGATGGAGAAGGTGAGAACCTTCCATGTTCCTTGGGGAAGCTGGAGAACTCTCCCAGTCCCCATCCTGCCCCCTGGCCCCATCCAGGTCAGCCAGGGCCACATCTAGCCATACAGGTTATTCAGAGCTGGCAGATAGCCTGCCTCCCATCCAGGTGGATATTTTAGTTAATATCTGCTCAGTGATTCTTCGGAGGAGGAGCTGAGTGCTGTGTGGGGACCAGAAGGAAAGAGGCCCCCATGGCAGCATCTGTGCCTCCTGCACGTGTGGGCTCCGGCCTGCCCACTGTGCACACCCCACTCAGCCCTGTGGTTTGCCAGACTCACCTGCTGAAAAGGTGCTTGGGGTCCCTTGGGGAGGGTTCTCACCCTCTATCCCAAGAGGCTTGTATAAAGATTCCTTCCCCTCTGGTTGTGGCCAATAGAAAACGGTCCCCATTCAATACATCCCTTTACAGTCTTAGTGCCCTTTATAGACTGATTGCTGTCCCTTGCCGCTGCCCAGCTGACTGCCCATTAGACAGTTCTAATGTTGGTGTTAAAAGGCACTGGCTGTCTCCCAGCATCACTGTATAAAGGGGGAAGCTGAGGCTTGGCAGAGGACAGAAGACACCCTTCTTGGCATGAGAACCTCCCACCCATGAACTCCATAGGGCCCTGCCCTAACCTCAACACCAGAGCTGCTTTCCCCAGCAATCTGGGGTGCCCATGTGATGTCCCCTGATTATTGACGATGGCTGTATAATGTTTTGTGGTAGTCAGGGTGGGTATCAGGCTGTTGGCTTTCTGAGAACTTCCAAGTGTCATGTGGAAAGCCTGTGTATTTCAATAAGCATCCAGTGCAGCCTTTGAGTTCACCTTAGCCAGTGGGGCTCACCTTGGCTTTGTGCAGCTCACTTTGCCCAGTTTGGGTTAGGAGAGGCCAGGTCTAGGGAATTCCAGTTTACTCATTTAGCCAAAAAGTATTTATTAAGCATCTGCTGGGAGCAATGCTGGGCACTAGGGATTACTGCCTCCATCCTGAACCAGGCAGATGAATAGGAATGTTCCAGATAATAGTCATAGCTGGGAAGATAATAACCAGCTAACATGGTCAGAGAAGGCCACTCTGAGGGGGTGGTGCTGGAGTTGAGACCTGAAGGATGAGAAGGAGAGGCTGTGGGAAGATGACGGGAACAGTGCTTCAGGCAGAGGGATCTGTGAGTGCAAAGACCCTGAGGAGCAAAGGAACTTAGAATCTGTGAGAGTGAAGGGGGCTGGTGGCTGGAGTGGATGAACATGGAGAGGGGACAGGCAAGGGGGCAGAACCATCCCACAGGGTCTTCAGGGGAAGGAGGTGATCCAGTCTTCGGAGAAGCTCCCTCTGGCTGCTGTGTGAACTGCCCATTGGGGGCTAGGGTGGGAGCAGGAGGCCAGGGAGGAGAGGAGGGTGGTGAAACGTGATGGTGGCCATTCCAGGAAGAGCCAATGGATGGAATGGGCATGCCTTTGGGAGACTGCTGGTAAGATCATGGGAGGAGGAGGTTGGTTGGGTGCTTGCCAGGTCTTCTCTGTGGCATCTGCAGGGAGGGGGTGGGGGCAGGAGTCTGGCTTTCTCTAACCCTCCCAGTTCCTAGGTCCAGAATGTCTCCCAGTCCATGGAGGTCCTTGAGTTGCGGACGTATCGTGACCTCCAGTATGTACGCAGCATGGAGACCCTCATGCGGAGCCTGGATGCACGCCTCCGGGCAGCTGATGGGTCCCTCTCGGCCAAGAGCTTCCAGGTGGGTCCTTCTGGGTTCAGGTCAGAGGTCAAAGGAAGAATTAGGAATGATGCCCATTTTTCTGAGAGTGGGATCACATCTGGGAAGACAGAGATTTGGCTGGGGTCTAGGGTCCAGTATGGGCTAAATGTCAAACATAAGGGGTGAGGTTATGGGTCAAATGTTGGGGTCGTGTCTGGGTCAAAGGTCAGGAGTAGGGATCAGCGACAGTTCCATCTTGGTGGGCAGGAACTAAAGGACAGGATGACGGAGCTGTTGCCCCTGAGCTCAGTCCTGGAGCAGTATAAGGCAGACACGCGGACTATCGTGCGCCTGCGGGAAGAGGTGAGGAATCTGTCCGGCAGCCTCGCAGCCATCCAGGAGGAGATGGGTGCCTACGGGTATGAGGACCTACAGCAGCGGGTGATGGCTCTGGAGGCCCGGCTCCACGCCTGTGCCCAGAAGCTGGGTATGCCTTGATCCTTGACCTTGACCCCTAACCTCCTTGCCCAACCCCAATACGCAGAAGCTAGACAGTTTTGACCTCTAGCTTCTAAACTTTGACTCTTAACCTCCCTTCCCAAGGCCAAATATAGACCCTCAAAGCTGGAAATGGCCCTGACCCTTGACTTTTAGCCCCTCACTCCCAACTTAATTCCATCTTGGAACCAGATCTCTGGATCCACTCTCAACCCTGGTCCCCACTCTTCCCAATCCCACTTCATCATTGCTCAGCCTCCCTTGGGCTCTTTCCACCCCCCACTCCCTTATTCCCCCTGTTCCTGCCTCCCAGGCTGTGGGAAGCTGACCGGGGTCAGTAACCCCATCACCATTCGAGCCATGGGGTCCCGCTTTGGCTCCTGGATGACCGACACGATGGCCCCCAGTGCGGATAGCCGGGTGAGTGACTGTGCCCATTCCAGGGGTCAGAGCCTGGGAGGGACATAGCCTGTGGCTGTCTGTAGGTGCCTGGTGACTTCACACCAATGATTCTCTTGTAGTCCAAAGTGTCTTGGGATCTCCAGTGCCCTTGGACCTCCCCTTGCCTGTCTAGTGACTACCAAGCGATTCAGGGCCCTCCAGCCCTATGAATCCCCAAGTCTGTTGACCTCTGACGACTGTATAGAGACTAATGTTTACTAGTACTACTGACCAGCTTCCAATGACCACTGACCTTTAAGTAACTACCTAGTAATAACCAGTGTCTTCACAGAACTAGGGACCACTCCCTTCCTGCATCCAGCACCACTCACTGACTTCCAGTGGCCTCCGTGTTCACAATTGCCCATCACCTCTGACCCACAGGAACCACCCATCCACGAACTGCCTGGTGACTATGCTAGTGACTGGTATCCTTGCCATGAGCATTGGCCTCCCAGGGATTATGGTGGTTCAACTGGGTGGCTAAGAGCTTGGGTTTGGTAATCAAATTTGGATTTGCGTCTCAGTTTCACCAATTCTTAGTTGTCTAAGGTTCCTTAATGTCTCAGATACTCAATTTCCGTATCTTCAAAAGGGCCATGATGATGTCAGCATTAAAGCTTTTAAGATGCATAGCCCAGTAACCAGCTCTAGTAAGGGCACTAAGGCTAGTGAACATGCTAATAAACAGGCTGACCAGTGAGGATGGTGAAGATGCTGATTGCAGGCTTGGTCATCTTGTGGTCACAGGGGCTACCATGGGCAATGAATACAAGTGACCTCTCATCATCGAATGGCTGTCCAATGACCAGTAACCATCCAATAGCCAATGGCCAGTGAATTCCTGGGTCCAGTGAGACCCCAGACACTGCAATTCCCCAATCCTTGGGGACCAAGCACCATCTATTTAGTGTGTGTTTTAGTGGCACTCCCTGATCAAACAATCCTAGTCACTGGGACTATGACAGGTCATGAATGGTCACTGGTCATTCCATGACTGACTAATGACTACTTAGTGACCATTGGCCCTAAAGAGCATGGTTGATTCCTGAGTGGTTGCTGGAGACTTTGGGTCACTGGCATTAGCCCTCCAGTGACCAGCGGCTCTCTCGTAGGTCTGGTACATGGATGGTTATTACAAGGGCCGGCGTGTCCTGGAGTTCCGCACTCTGGGAGACTTCATCAAAGGCCAGAACTTTATCCAGCATCTGCTGCCCCAGCCGTGGGCAGGCACAGGCCATGTGGTGTACAATGGCTCCCTGTTCTACAACAAGTACCAGAGCAACGTGGTGGTCAAGTACCACTTCCGCTCCCGCTCCGTGCTGGTGCAGAGGAGCCTTCCGGGAGCCGGTTACAACAACACCTTCCCCTACTCTTGGGGTGGCTTCTCCGACATGGACTTCATGGTGGACGAGAGCGGGCTCTGGGCCGTGTACACCACCAACCAGAATGCAGGCAACATCGTGGTCAGCCGGCTGGACCCACACACCCTGGAGGTCATGCGGTCCTGGGACACCGGCTACCCCAAGCGCAGTGCTGGGGAGGCCTTCATGATCTGTGGTGTGCTCTACGTGACCAACTCCCACCTGGCCGGGGCCAAGGTCTATTTTGCTTACTTCACCAACACGTCCAGCTACGAGTACACGGACGTGCCCTTCCACAATCAGTACTCCCACATCTCCATGCTGGATTACAACCCCCGGGAGCGGGCCCTCTACACCTGGAACAATGGCCACCAGGTGCTCTACAACGTCACCCTCTTCCATGTCATCAGCACTGCTGGGGACCCCTAGAAGGCCACCAGGGGCCCTTTCTACTCTGCCTGTGTCCCTTCAAGTTGGTCTGTCTGTTGTGCCCTGCCTCCCCTCCTGTCCCTTTATCTCTGTCCCTGCCTTTGGCCCAGTTTTCCTTCTCTGCCTCTGTATTTCTCCCGATGCATTTTCTCTGTGTTGTCTCTTCTCCTTTATTGATCTGATTTTGATACTCCAGTTGTCATTCTGCCTTTTTATTGATGTCACTGTCTCTTTGTTTTTATTGATCTGACTCTCCAGATCATTCCCTGTCCCTGCCTGTCTCTTCCTCATCCCTCCCTCCCCTCCCTCTTTGCTTCCCTCCCACTCCTTCTCCTTCTCTTTGAACCCTCCCTCTCGCCCTCCAAGGAGTTGAGTGCATGGATCTGTTTCTTTTTATTTTTTATTTACACCTTTTTTTCCTGGGTTGCCGGAATAAACGGGACCTTTGACATTTGATGCTTCTGTTGCTCTGTGTGTCCAGAAGGGGCAGAGGAGGCCTGGAGGGTAAGCCCAAGCCCAGAGACCCATCCCTGTTGGACCCTGGTCCCATATGGCAAGCTTTGTGAACCAGGGCAGGCAAGTCCAGCCTGCGGGGCGGCCAGGGTGAGCCCTTTGGAGAAATAGGCAAAATTGTTTCAATCAAAAACAATTTGTTTAAAAGCAGTTTGATCAAAACACCTGAGAATTCTATCACAACAATGAAAACAGGCCTCAAATGAATAGTCTTCGTCATTCATTTTTTCACTCATTGTTCACTCTGGTGCACTGCTGAGCCCTCTGGCAACTTTTTTTTTTTAAAACAATTTGGCCACTTTTAAGAATTTGGGTATGAGTGGATAGGACATGGTCGAATTTTTCCTTTTTCTTCTCTTTTTGCTTTGTAATTTTAAAATCACTTTATTTCATTTGCACCTGTTCTGCATTAATAACAAAAGACTAGAAACAGCCTGCAGGTGCAGTGCGCTTTCCGTTGAATGCGCCCACACCTGGGTCCCATTTACCTAGAAGGGCCTTGGTCAGGCATGAGCCCACCACAGGGACCCCAGCTCTTGAAGGGGAAGGACAGCAAAGCTAGGAAGTATCTGAGACAGGAAGGGGTGTGAGAAGGATGACTTCAGGTAGAGACTGAAGTAAGCTGAGGCCAAATCCTCAGGAGCCTGTGGTGATAAGACTAAGGCGGGTGGGTGGCTGTGGGGGTCACAGAAGGAAGGGCAGATGACGTTTTTTCAGCCAGATTGCTAGTAGTCTGGGTGAGACAGTGCAAGGAGAGTGGGGAGAGTGACCTCTGGGGCTGCTGGTTGGGAGCAAGGGCAGTACCGTCCACCACAACATATGGGCCCCACCAAACCCTGAGCAGAAACATTGTGCAGAGACTCACTGGCCCAGACCCCACCCCACCCCACCGAGGCCACAGAGGCTGTGAATGAAACCTGCTCCTCTGGAAGGAACATTCCCCTCCGTGGCTCTAATTAATGGCCTCCCTGATTAAATCATCTTCGGGAACATGGGGGTTGCCTTGTGAAGGAAACCAATGAATAATATATGTGACTGCCTAATGCTCTCACTTAAAACCATTTTTTAAAGAAATCTTCAAGAAAAGCAATTAATTTCCATTTAAATTAACAAGTTGACATAGAAAAAGAATTGATTCCTGGGTAAACACGTTGAGAGGCACTTTGCTCTGTACCTGCTTGAAAAGAAAGGCACACCAGCCCTCTGTTTGGAGGCAAATCTCCAAGCTGAGCACAGGGCGGGGGCGGTGGTGGTGGTTGCCACAGGTAGGGCATTGTTCTCTGATGGCAAATTTTCCCAAAGTAAGGTGGGGACCGAGAGCTGCTGAGCTCAACAATCTTTGTCTAAAACACACACAGACTTGGAGACTCACATGAGGGTGTGGGTGTGTCTGTCACATCTGCACGCCAATCCTCAAATGGATGCCACAGGCACTTGGCATTGTAACCACACCCCCGTCACAAGGCGGGCCTAGTGCTCGCTCCTTACATTGTGGATGTACTTTATGGAAACACAGCTGACCCTTGAACACGGGTTTGAACTGTGCAGGCCTACTTATGGCCGATTTTTTTTTCAATAAATACAGTAAATGTGCTTTCTCTTATGATTCTTAACATTTTCTTTCTAGCTTACTGTAAGAACTCAGTATATAATACGTGTCACACACAATATATGTGTTAATTGACTTTATTATCCATAAGGCTTCTGGTAACAGTAGGTTATAAGTAGTTAAGTTTTGGGGCAATCACAAGTTAAATGTGGATTTTTGGTTGTGTGAGGGCTGATGCCCCTAACACCTGCATTGTTCAAGGGGCAACTGGACAGCCAACCACGCAAAGGCAGGAATACTCCCCCCACCCCCAATGGGCCAGGATCCCACCCCCAAACCGCCAGCATGTTTCAGGCCACCCTCTGCTAGCTCCAACATCCCCTTCTGCGCATGCACCAGGTTGCGTTGGGAAAGCACTGAAGCCCACCTGGTGGCAGTACCTGGGTTACCAGGAGTTGAAGGGACCTGAACTAGCCCTGTCCTGTGGCCACAGAAGCCTGGGCTGGTGCACAGGGAAGAGTGGGGCAGAGTCTGGCTGGGAGGAAAGACTATGCTGTTGCTGACATTCTGAAGGCCCAGGATTTATGGCCCCCTTCCAGGCAGGAGCGGGTGGGGGAACGTGGAGCAGGTGAGGAAAGGCACAGCTACCAAACCGTGAATCAGCCCGACACTGAGTGGGCTCTGGGGGCATGTTTATCTAAGAGCAATGTTTTGTGTTTGTGTTTTGGCTGCTGCACAGCTAGACAAAGGAAGGGGTGGGGGTCCACAGAGGCAGGGGATCAAACCCAGATGGGGGTGGGGCACTCCCAGGGTTGCACTGGACACAACCAGTTACATGGCTACATGCACATGAGAGAGAGAGAGTGAAAGCGAGACAGACAGACAGATGCCCGAAGTGACAGGAGTACCATAAAGACCATTTTCCTGCCAGCCAGAACAGGAAAATACACAACCTTCTCTCTGGCAGCCTCTTAGCCACCCGGGAGCCCAGGGACACTTTCTCTGCGTCTTTGGTGTTGAAAGTGAGGCACAGGCCCATTCTTCAGCAGCCCCTCCACCCTGAAGCACAACTCCACAAACTCTGCTGTCCTGCACCACCCCCCACCCTCGCCCAGTACTCATTTCTGATCCTTCCCAGAGGCACTATTGGGCCAGGACGGGTGCCACTGCTCCCCCAACCCCACAGAGCTGTTGGTGCAAAGGGTGGGGCTGCTCACTGCCTGCCCCATGGTCCCCACAGGCGGTGGAAGATTCTGCCAGGAGGTGCAGCCTCCGAGCCAGCTCCCTTGGCTGCCAGAGCTGAAATTCATTAAACCTTTCTAATGACCACCGCTCCAGCAGGCGGCAGGCAGAGTGACTGCTCCAGAAACCTGCCAGATTGGAGTCCACTTAGGTGACTGTTTGTGACTCAGGTCATTATATTACAGATTTAGCCCTGTGGGCTTCCTTTGGGATCAACCCAGCAAGGCTTTAATTTGCTCAGGTCCCCAAGCCCTGGTACCCTGCCACCCCCATGCTGTGGCTGGTCCCCATGAAGAAGGGGTGGCCAGAGTGGGCACAACCACCTAACAGACCCATAAATCATGAGAATGAACTCAGAGCCCCAGCTCAGGCGCTGGTACAGGGGCAACTGTGAGTATGGGATGGACAGCAGGAGGGTCATGCCCACCATGCCCCACCTCTCGTTTGCCACAGGATTCCCCTCTGCTCAAGGACAGCCCCTCCCCCGATGTTTCAGCACACGCCTTCCCCAGCATCTGCAGAGATGGCAGGACCCAGGTACCACCTGCCAGAAGAGCCTGTGGTGTGACAGGAATGTAGGCATCATTCATTCTGTGTGGCCCATGTGTGGAGGGGTGGGGGTGGGGGTGTGTGCGGAAAGCATGCCCAAATCTGGCTTTCCAAGAATCCCCCAAAGATCGTCAGCTCCACCTGACCTGCTGAATCCAGAGCTATGCGGTCAAGGCAGGGTCCTTGCATTCTACCACACCCAGGCTTGAGGACGGCTGGCACTGAGTGGCACCCCGCTTTCCTGAAGTCTGGGTGCTGGGATGAACTCCTGGAGGGCATCCTCATGCCTGGGACGTGGAGAAACTTCTGAGGGAGCAAGTGCAGCTGGACATTTGGACACCAGGGGGGGGCGGGAAAGGCCTAGGTCCCCAACAGTGCCCCCAGCACCTCAGCAGGGAGGAAATGAGACACAGGACGGCAGAGCAGCGGTTCCAGGTTTAATGGAGGGTGTGGAGGGTGCTGCACTGCTGCTTGGCGGGCCCCAGGCAGTGGCAGCCCAAGCCCCGGGCAGAGCATTTGCTTTTTGCAATTTAATAGAGGAACATGGCATAGCCAGAAACAAAGTGAGGCCCTCCTACCCCGATCTGGGACCTGGGGGTCAAGGGACAGCTCAGCTGACAGGGCCTTCCCTTTGGGACAGGCAACCCTCACCCCCTTGGTCTGAGAGCTCTGGGAGCCCACCCATACTGCTGCCCTTCAGAAGTCAGTTCCTGAAGAGGAGGGAATCTGGCAGGGATAGCCCCAACCTGGGGCAGACAGGGAGCTCTGAATGGTGCAGAGCCCCTCTCCTAGCCATTTTGGGAACAATAAATACTGTGTGACATCAGCAGGGAGGGGCGCCCATGCTCGGCTGGCGGCAGTAAGCAGGGTCTGCGGGCCCAGCCACCCCGCCCCCGGCCCATCCCACAGGCCAGGCCTGGGCCACCTGCTCCCTCACTCCGTGCGCAGGATGATGTGGATGCCAGAATCCGTGAACACGGGCCCGCTCATCTCCCCCGTCCGGAGTGCAAAGGAGGCATCTTCAAATGGCTTTTGCATCTGACCTGGGGAAGCGTAAGGGATGATGTTCCGGGAGGCAGGGACGGGTGGGGGTGGGGAGGTGAGCGGTCAAGACCTGGCAAAAGCTAGGACTAGGCAGGGCAGCCAGATGGGGCTCCCACCTGCGCCCTGCCTTGCACTCATCTGTCACTAGGTTTATGGCCCTGTTACAGTGCTGAGCAGCCCAGCTGGAGGTGGCAGGGCCATTAAGGAGGCCCCAGGAAGCCTGAGGACAGCATGAGGGATGTCAGGCAGAGCTCCTGGCGCTGCTGTGTGCTTAGAAATGCATTTTAGTGATGAATTTGTCTCCCTGGGCTCCGTTCCCAGCCCCTGCCACGTTGTGTCTCGTCTGCCTCCTGGGGTGGGCAGCAGCTCCTTGTTGTCCCCACACCCCTCACCCCACCCTGGGTATCTCAGGGACGGAAAGGAGGACAAAAAGAAGGGGGTGGTGACCTGGTCCCCTCTGCTCTTCCCTTCCCACTGTCCCAGACATATAGACCTAAACTCAGGGTTGCTGATCTGACCAACCCATCCTCCTCTCACTTCTGGCTCCCCACCAGTAAGGGCGGGGTGGAGAATTCCGGGAGACTACCTGGGGCTCTTAGGGAACCCTGCCTTATACCTCCAATAGGGGGAGAGGCTAATGGCAGTGTGGTGGGTCTGTGATGGGGAAAAATGTGCGAAGAAACACACAAAGTGACTCCCCAACCCAGGATGGAATGACATGGGGAAAAGGCTCCAACAGTCACCCCTGTCCCCCACCAGCAAGGCAGCCTCTGAAGCCTGAGGGAGGGACTGTGCTGCCACCTGGTGGACCCCAAAGGCCTGTGTGGCAGGGGCCATGCCATCCATCCTCCACAGGCCAGGTGGTGCCCATTATTTGCGCACCTCTGCTGAAGGCACCCAGGTCTCCCCTGGCCTTGGCTGAGCTGCAGTCACTGAACTGTGAAGCCAGAGATTCAAAGTCCTCTTCTCCCGACTTGATCTTCTGGATGTAGCCTGTGGACACACACGACATGAGGCACACAGGAGACCTCCAAGTCAGCAGCAGGACAGACAGGGCAGAGGGCTCCAGGTGGACGGTGGCACATCACTCAGGATGGAACTGTGCAACCTCCGCTCTACTGTGCTCGTGTACCCATACACACACACACACACACACACACACACGGGTGAATACTCTTGCCACCCCCACATGCTAACACATACACAAATGCCTTCTCCCTGCACATGTGTGCCGAGTCATGCCTGGAGTCCCAGGTGTCCCTGAAGTGGTGCCTTCCACGTACATGTGCACTGAGACCCTGCAGTAACCTCAACAGCCATGCCAGTTTCACACCCCACTCCTAACTCCCGCTCCCCCCATCACTCCACCCAAATATAACATGAACCTAGCATGGTCCCCTCCTGCCTCCCACACACTCTGAGAAAAGCTAACTCCAGGCCCCATAGGGGAGAACAGCAGGAAACCAGGCAGAGAAAGAGGGCTGCTGGAGACTAGGGTCCTCTGAGAGTCTCCAGGACTGTGGTGGGAAACTTTCCTAGAATCGTCTAGAAGGGAAGGAGGCCAGAGTGTGAGCCCACCTCTCCCAGAGAAGCCAGCTGAGTCCTCAGCCCCTGGGTGGCCCACTGGGGCATTGTGAAGAGACCCCAGGAAAGGACATGTGTCATTCCCATGGACTATGGACTACGGCCCCAGAGGCAGCTGACAAGGCTATTTTCCCAGCTGCCCTAACAGGGTGTGTTGGCAGAGCACCATATTCTCAGTGTGGCCCAAACTGTCCCCACTAGGTACCAATTTCCTCTGGATGGAGAGGGAGGCTGGGGAGTAGAGGGGGACAGGGGAAGTAACAAGCATCACTGTCTTTCCTTTGGGTTCAGAGCACAGGGGACCCTGTGTGCGCAGGTAGAAAGGAGCCACCAGCTGCTCTTTTGAGTCCAAGCAGGAGCCCTTGGTGCTGGAACCCATCCCTCCCTCCCTGAAATGCCTTGGTCCTGCTCTGGCCAGCTGTCCTGGCACGTGAATGAGTGCCCCTGCAGGTATCCTCCCTGTGCCCACAGGCTCAGCCACAGGGGGGGTCCCACAACATCTGGCCCCAGACCTTCATTCCACTTGGGCCTGCGTGGCCTTCATGACCACCCCTCTCCCAGGGCCACATGCCCACTTGGCTTAGCAATGGGACACCAGCACATCGGATGGGAGGGTCACCCTGCCACACCTGCCAGGGTTTCTGCACACCACTGTGATGCTCTGACCACTGCTCCTGTCAGATCCCAACAGGGCTGTGACACACCTGTCTGGTACCTGTATGAGTTGCACAGGAACACTGTGGATTCATCTACCTGGTACTCTGAGGCTCAGACACCCAACCAGGGTCACCTGCCTGATGCTGGGCTGCAAACCTCGCCAGGACCATCAGCCTCAGTTTCCTGTTTGACCTCAAGGTCACTGTCACCCATCTGCCAGAGACCAGTTAAAATGGCATGACTGACTATGTTGCCATCACCTATTCACCGCACATCACAGCAACTGCACGCAGTGTCCTGGTATCTGATCTGTTTGGTACTCCCATAAACGTGCTCGTCACCTGTTTTCCCCATGTCCGACACAGGGGTCTGTTCTTGGCCACAAGATGCAAGGGAATCTTTGGATCCCTGTGTCCCCTCAGTTCAGGCTTACATCCCCCCCCGCCCCCGACTTGCCCTGCTTCTCTCGCCCATCTACCTGCCACCTTGGTGCCCATAACGCCACCCTTAGGTATCTCTTCCCGCCTGAAGCTCACCTGCTCTCTTCTGGTCTCACCCAGGAGGCTTCCTTAAGACCAGGCTGTGTGAGGTGCCTCCCTGGGTCTGCACTCAACACCATCCTGTTTGTGTGCCTGTAACCTGCCTCACACTGGGAGGACAGGGCCTGGGTCGGCCTTGCTCACTGCTCTGTCCCCAGTACCCAGAGCTGCACACAGAACAGGTGTTCACTTATATTGAAGGAATTCATGAATAAATGAGACAGAAACAGGCCATGGGGAAGGAAAGAGCTTCTTCCACTGGGCTCTGTAGGCAGAAGTGCTGAAATCTTATACTTTTTCTGTGAGCTTCAGGCCCAAACGCTAAAGAGGTGGCAAGAAAGGAAGTACAAACCAGAGCTGCCTGGCCTTTCCCCAGCAATGTCCTGGCCTCCCCTCCCTGTGTGTCACCGAAATAGTGCTCATCCAACCCTTGTCCAACAGAGCTCCAGCTGGGGCACTGAGAGCTAGCTAGACCAGGAGGGCCTCTCGGGGAGCTCCCAGTCTGGGGTAGGCACCTTCCCCCCACTGTGGGGAGTTCAGGAGCCCCAACAGAATGGCATCTGCTCCTGCTGGCAGATCATAGCATATCCCAGAGGCCGAGGAGGGTGGACTTTGAACTTTAACTGCTGTGTTCAGATCCCAGCTTTACTGTTCCTGAGCTGTGACCCTGGTGGGTGACTTTTCCACTTGGAGCCTCACTTGCCTGACCTGTAAAATGGGCTAATCAGCAGCTCCCACCTTCAAGAGCTGTTAGGAGTAAAGAAGTTACTGCTGGAGCAGGACTTGGACCAGAGCAAGCCCTTGACAGCTGTCAGCCCCCATAATACAGACTGAATTGTGTGCCCCTAATTCGTATTGAAGCCCTAAACTCTCAATGTGACTGTATGTGGAGATGGGCCTTTACAGAGGTAATTAAGGTTAAAGGAGGTCATGAGGGTGGGGCCTTGATCCAAACATTAGTGTTCTCGTAAGAGATACCAGTGAGCTCCAGCTTTCTCCCCCCCTCCGCCGGGGGCACGCACAAAGGCCCTGTGGCGACACATCAGTGGGCAGCTGTCCATAAACCTGAAGAGAGCCCTCACCAGAACAGTCAGTCAGAGCCTTGATCTTGAATTTCCAGCCTCTGGAACTGTGAGAAATAAATCCCCATTGCCTAAGTCCCCCAGGCTTTGGTATTCTGTTATGGCAGCCCAAGCCAACACAGCAAAATTACCTAAGGGGAAGTGATGAACAAATGGGGTGGTCTCTGACCTTAAAAAGGTCTGGAGACAAACAAGGGAAGAAACCATGACAGGAAAAAGGTGACAAGTTGAGTTGTCATCCCAGAAGACCCAAGATCCAGCAGGAAGGGCCTAGAGAGACCACAGACCCAGCAGGCTGGAAGGGAGTCACTGACCTAGGGTGGGGGACTTGACCAAAGGCACACACTGACCCTTGATCCTGGGTGTAAGTGTATTTGGGGGGGGACTGTTGTTCACACCAAGGCCTCCCTGAAGCCCTAAGCCATGGGAATACGGGGGCAGAGGGATGGAGAGCAGGTGGGGAGGGCTTCTCCATGGCCTGGCCTCCTTAGACAAGGACTCCGGCAACTCCAGGCAGCCAGTTCTTGGATCTCTGATAGCCCCTGGCCACAGCCCAGCAGCTGCAGAGGAGCCAACGCTGAGAAAAGGAGCATCAGCAGAAAACTTGGATGTGCTGGTTCTCACTGCAGGCAGCCTGTCCCTTGGGGCAACAGGGAGCACAGGCTCTAAATGGATTCTGATGGGACTCCAGATCAGGCTGCCAGCTACAGATCGTGCTGCCCCAATCCTCATCTCCTGATCACCTGGAACGAGCCATGACAGGGGGAACATTCACTTTCAGGGGAGAAAATAGGAGGCCCAAACGCCCCAAACTTGCTGACATGGCACCACAGCCTGCATCTCACTGCTCCCTCCTGACAACCCTGAAGGAGGCCTGGCCCAGCCCCATCTCAGTGTCTCGGGACACTAAGGCCAAAAGAGGGAGATTACTGCCCAAGGTCATCAGAGGGTCTGCATGCAGAGCCCACTGGCGTCCTGCATCCTTGCCCAGAGCTCTTCCCATCAGCCTTGGGGAAGCAGCAGGGGCTGCCTGTGAACAAAGGCCTTGCTTGACCTTGGCCCCCTACCACACACGCCTAAATGACTGAGGTCAAGGCTCCATCACGTAGAAAGTGAGTGCCAGACACAGCCCATTGCTCTACTAAGCACTCCTAGGATTTTCATGGCCATCTTGTCCCCGTTTTACAGAAAAGGAAACTGAGGTTCTGAGGATGAAGGCATTTGCTTAAGGCCACATAGCTGGCACTAGTGTCCATCTCTGCGTGACTATAGGGCGGGCCACACTGGTTCCAACCTTACCCCATCCCTTCTGGATTCTGCCTCCTAAATCTCTCTGGAATCTGTTCCACCCCTCCCACCCACCTCCAAGTTCAGGTCACATCATCTCTAGCTCTAATTCCTCCCATAGCTTCTACCAGGCCCTCCAGCACAGGCAGGCATGCCCTATCTTCTCTAACCCTAGTCTCCATCCACTTAAAGTTAGGCCTCAGGGCCCTGCTGCTTACTGGGAGCACCCCCACCCCAGGTAACCCTCCCCAAGATCCAAGCTGACCTCAGCCTCTCAGGCCCCCACTGCAGTGTCAGCCCCACCAGGCACTCACCTGTCCATCCTAGAGATGGGCGGAGGCATCCTCATTGCCACTCCCAGGCAGTTCCCACAGCCCATTTTCCTTCCAAGACATGATGAGATCGCACTGTGTCCACCTGCCTTAGCTTCCTGACATCTCTTGCCAGGACTGCCTTTGGTCTGGCTGATGTGCTGAACCCAAGCCCTCTCCCAGTTGCCTTCCCACGTTCTCTTCCTCTGGCTCCTCGGACTGAGTCAGTCCCTCCCCAGACTGCTCCTCTTCCCAAGTCCCCTCTACTAGTAGTGGCACCTCTTGCTACTCACTCTCAAATGCCTGTTACCTCTTGCTTAATTTCATGTATTCCAGAAGCCTTGGAATGGGGACCATTTGAGCTGGAGGACCCAAGACATCACCTCAAGATTCTCTCTGGGCTTTCCCCACCTACTTCCTCCTTTTCCCCTGGGGCAAACAACCCCCCATCCCCACTTTCCCTCTTCTCCAACACTCACAGTTGGTCCCAGCCAGCCTGGGGACCCTCCAGCTTCCCTGGCCCTCCATCCTCGAGCCACACAGTTCTGAAACACACCACTGCAGGGTCCTTCTCTGGGTCACACTTAGCCATGTGTTTCCTGCTATCACCAGGAAAGGCCCCAATTCTTTGCCTCACTCTTGGCACTCCTCTGCCTGGATGGGACCTGCCCTGGAAGGACCTAGTCCCTTTTCAGTCCCCTGCACAGCTTGGTGCCAGGCCTTTATTTCTGTCATCGCCTCTGCCAATAATCCTTCCCACTTCCTATTGGTTCATGAAACAGTGCTGTGAGTACTAACATAGCCAGGCTGTGTGTTGGGCGGTGGAAGTACAGTGGGGAGACAGATCCAGTCCCTGCCCTCACAAAGCTCAGGAGGCAAGATTTTTAATCTGCCTTTAAGATTGTGTGCAAAGAAAAAGAAAAAAAAATTCAAAATGATGCCAACAAGCTAAAAGAAAACAGTGTCAGCTGGGTTTCAAACTAATGTGTATCACAGAACACAGATGCACTTGCTCAAAAAGGTTCTGTGCAAGAATTCAGATGCTCTCTACAATGCTAGGAGGTATGAGCCTGCAGGTGCCATTAATCATTCCAGACACCATATGGGTGTGTGTGCAAGTATAAGAACTATCCTACAGGCCAGGTACTGGACCAAGTGATATGATGGTTAAACAACAGCTGATACTGATGGAGTGTGTACTCTTAGCCAGGCCTGTGCTAATAACAAGCATAATCACAGTTAGCAATTTTACTAGCTGGCAGGTGCTATTACTCCTGCTTTACTGTATTAGGTTGGAGTCCCCACAATTTCCCTATGGGTGGATTCTGTTAGCAGCATATTAACTTTAGAGGTGAAAGAGACTGAGGCTTGGAGATGTTAAGTAATTTGATTAAGGTCACACAGCCAGGACCTGGCAGTCAGATAGGAATTCAGGCTGTCTGGGCATGGGTGAAGGACCAGTTATGTGAGGTAGCAGTGGCCAGGGAGAGGTCTGGGGTCTCTGGTGGGAGAGGCTCAGTGGATGATGAAATCACAATGGAGGTGCAGACCAGCACTGTCCAACATAACTTCTTGCATGGACGTAAGTATTTTATATCTGTGCTGTCCAAGATGGCAGCCACTAACCACATGTGGCTAGTAAACACCTTAAGTGCGGCCAGCACTATTACAGAAACAATCCTTATACCCTGGCTAGTGTGGCTCAGTGGAGTGAGCACCAGCCTGTGAACCAAAGGGTCACTGGTTTGATTCCTAGTCAGGGCACATGTCTGGGTTGTGGGTCATGTCCCTAGTATGGGGTGTGTGAGAGGCAACCCCCATCCCTTCCTCTCCTTCTCCTTCCCTTCTCCTCTCTAAAAAGAAATAAAATCTTAAAAAAGAAGTAATCTTTAATACTCTTAATTTTAATTAATTCAAATGGATATAGCTACATGTAGGTAGTAGCAGCCACACTGGACAGCTCTAGATCAGGGTTCTCCCAACAACCGCCCACAGGCCAAAGCCTGCTATTTTTGTAAAGAGAATTTTACTGGTATTATAGCCACGCCCATTTGTTTACTTTTTGTCTGCGGCTGCTATCATGTTACAAAGCAGAGCTTACAGAGACTGTATGGCTGGCAAAACCTAAACTATTTACCATTGGGCCTTGTAAGAAAAAGTCTGCCAGCCACTGCTCTACCAAAGAACAGCCTCCTCTCCCTGGGCAGAATAAACTTACAAACTGCTGGCCAGCCATGTACTGTTGTACCTTTCCAGCCTCTTGTATGCGCTGCAGAACCCTGCCTAATATTATCAACAACCATTCCCACTGACTGAGGGCCCACTGTGTACCACCCACTGTCTTATCCCACTGGGTTTTCACAACAAGCTTCAGATGCAGGTATACGACAATGTCCATTTTATAGACGTGAAAAGTGAGTCTCAGGGAGGTGATTCCGGTCCCCCAAGGTCATAGAGCTTATGGGGGCATAGCTACTACCTGAACCCAGGCCTGCCAGCCCCCAAGGCTAGGTCCTCCCACTCCTACAGATGGAAAGAAAAAGAAGAGGTGGCTGCGTGGGCCAGGCTCATGTCATGTACAGGCACTTCCATGTTGGCCAATGCCACACCTGACAGCTGAGCAAGCGGGGGTGGAGGGTTTGGTGTGATTTCAACAAGGCTTGCTCTGGCCCCCTGGGGGAGAGAAGCCCCCCTCCCCCCAGACCCTGTGTCCAGCCCTGCTCACTGTTGATCAGCTCCAGGGCCTCCTCCTTGGTCCGAGTGATCTTCTCTTGCCTCCAAGATGAAGGCCGCCGTGACTGGCTGTGCTTGACCAGCAGGTGTGAGCAGCGGACCCTGGTGGGTTCCCCCTGTCCATTTTTGCCGCTGCCACTGCTGTTGCCACTTGGCCGCTCCCACTGGCTGGCATTAGTGATGTGATTGAAGTAGTACACCCGGCCTGGAGGGACAGGAGGTGGGAAACTCAGCTAGGCCTGCTCATAGGATGCCACCCTGAAGTCAGAAGAAGGGACTGGCCTATGAGACACCATCATTCAGCAAATCCACTGTGTGTCCACCATGTGCCACAGGCCCTTAGGGAGCTACCATTCTAGGTGGGGGCAGATCGGCACCAGTCAAGCAAATAAGACATGGTAAGTTCAGTCATTGATACCTTTGAATAACCCAGGGTGACAAGGGAAGCAGCCAAGGTCGGGGAGATGAAGTGGTTCAAAGCATGCACTCAGCAGCCAGACCACCTATGCAAATCTGGCTCTGCCCCTCACTCACTGCATGACCTACCTTCCCCAGGCCTCCATTTTCTCACCTGTAAAATGGAAACAACAGTACCTGCCTGTAGGGTTGTTGTAAGGACTAAATAAATTCATTATCTCTAAAGTGCTTAGCACAGCTCCCGACACATATTAAGAGTGTGATAGCTATTACTATTGCTATTTTATAGACAAAAAAACTAGGTAATGTTTCCTGAGTGCTTACTGTGCCCCAGGCACATTATGCCAAGAGGGAGGAACTGTACCCAGATGTCACACACCAAAGCTCTGCTCTTTCCCCTACAGTGTACTGTGCCGAACAAAGTGGGCCCAGCACTACCGGGGGTCAGATGTTACCCAGGGACTGAGGAGCATGGAGTGAACACTGCACACAACTTGAAGTGGAAGGGACCCAGTAGAAAAGGGGTGTCATCCCAGGGACCCAGAGTTTGCCTGGGTTATATGGAGGACTTGTGGCCAGCACTGGTGAAGGGCTAGGTGCCACCCCTGAGGATTGTCAGGGTCAAGCCACACAGAAATGGCAGGACTGGGGGTCCAGAGTTGAGCCCCCAGGTTCAGATTTATGGCACAGGTCATAGTCACAGGCCAGGGCTAGAGTAAGGTGAGCAAGAGCTGAGCCACTGATGGTCTCTAAAACCTTAGCAATGGACTCTAACTCCCTGAAAAGTGGTGGTGAAGAGGTAAGGCCACCAAACTTCCTGGGGTTAATGTGGAGCGTGGATGAGGATGTACACAAAGTGCTCACCAGAGGGCTTGGCATTCAATAAGCCAGAGTTATTACTGCGACTATGATTACTGTGGACAATGGAGTAATTTGCAGGAACTGCTCCTCTGCAGTTTGCAGTGACAAGGGCATGGGGCTCTGGAGTCAAAATAACTGGGTTTTAACAGAGTCCTAAGCCCCCCACCCCCTCAAATGAATGACCTTAGGCAAGTTCCTTACATTTTCTGGCCTCAGTTTCCTCACCTGCAAAATGGAAATAATGGCAACTGACTTCCCAAAGTTGTGGCCATTCAGAGAGAAGAAACTTAAAACGTTTGGCATAATGATTGGTGCTGATAAAAGTGCCCTGCTGTCGATATAATTATTGTAGATTAGCCTTAAACTGGACCGAAGAACAGGAGCCCTCGTCAGGCAGAAAATAACCATAGGTTCAGGATTAGGGATAGGTGGCAGGCGTGGTAGCAGGGTTAGGTTGTGCATCCGAGGCCCGGCAACACCTTGGAGCCACGCCCTGAGCATGAGCTTGGGGTATCCTCTCACAGGGATCATTCCCAGGGCCCAAAGGGGTGCAGAGACATTCCCTAGCGACATCAGGTGCTTTAGGCCGAAAGATGTCAGCCAGATTCGCAGGGCCAAGGCCATCGCTGGGAGAGACGCCACGGGATCACCACCCCGCCCCAGCCGCCCGCCCCCCCCCCCCGCCGCCAGCACGCTGGGCCTCGCCGGCCCGGTCCCTGCCTCAGTTTTCTTCGGCTTCCCAACTCCAGAGGCTCGAGCCTCCACAGGACCGGCCGGAGCCGTTACCCGGGTCAACGCGGAGGAGCCAAGACCCCACGGGAGTCGGACGGCTGCGCCGTGCCCGAGGGGCAAGCTCGAGTCTTGCTTCCGCAGGCCCGCGCGGCCCCGCCCTAGCCCCGACCCCCGCGGCACCTGAGCTGCGGCTCATGCGCTTCTCCCAGCCGAGCGGCAGCTTCTCTTCGTCCGCCATCTTCCCTCTTGCTGCAGCGCCTGCTCCGCCCCCGCCGCACCGCCTCTACTACCTGTGCCCGCCCACCACCGCCGCCTATTGGCTAGTAGTGCTTAGAACAGAAGCCTGGTAACGACATTTATTGGGAACCTTAACTGGGTTTCTTGCTTTTATTGGGCAGAAGCGAGAGTAGGCGTATCCCCGCCTTTTTTTTTTTAATCTGAGCCACGCCTTCCCCCTTTCTTCGGCCCTTTTAGTGGTGAGGAAGGAATACACTCCCACCTTCTCAAGGCCCTTTGGCAAGCTTCGGAGAAGTCTCGACCCCTTTCTACGCGTCCTTAGGCACAGAACCCATCCGATTGGCTATTGCAGCAGCAATTCCCTTTTTCCTAAACCATTTCCGGACGTCCGCAGACCCCCAAGCGGAAGTGTATGGCTGGTGTAGAGGTAACGGCAAGTCGATGGGGTAGTTGGAAATGCGGTACTGCCTTTGCTGTTGCCGTAGCAACGCAGTTGCCTTGGTGACGAGCAGCTGATAACCAGAAACCTGAATTTGGCTGCTCCTTCCTCCCTCTTCCCACCTCTTTCCTCTAGTTTCCTCTCAGGTTATCCCACCCCCCTTTTATATTTTGTGCAAAGCTAACCCTTTCCCTATGCCACCGACCCAGACACTTTGGTATTTTGGAACCTAATCACTTCACTATTTTTCGCTCACACTGACTTTTGCCTCCAACCTGATGACTTGTGGTTGTTGGCACTGCCACTCAGATGGGGACATGGGAGGAAGCGCAGGTGGGAGGAGGAGGATGAATTCAATTTGAGTCAATTTAAAATGGAGTCTGCAGCGCCCATGGGATACTGAGGAGGTGGTTGGGGACCCAGGGATGGAGATATATATGGAAGTTAGACATTAATGGGGAAGAGTTCAAATACAGTTCATCTATAGCATGGACTCTCATGTCACCTTTAAAAAGAATGCGGCACAGTGACATGAAAAACAGGGAAACTTGTTCACAAGAAGGTAGAGACAGGATGCAGTAGAAGGTTAACAGCGCTCAAGAGCCAGATTGCTTGAGTTCAAGCCTGGCTCCACCATTTGCTATGACCTTGAACAAATCACTTACTTAACCTCTGCATTTCAGCTTTCCCATCTATGAAATGAGGATAAGAAATAAAATATATTTCATACATACCTTTGATGTAAAGATTAAATGAGTTAATTTATAACACTCAAAACAGTGCCTGGCCTATACATAGCAAGGCTGTATTTGCTGGGTGGAAAAAAGCAAATCATAGTACAGCATAGTAATTATAATGTGTAGAAAGGCCTAACAAATCAACAAATAGTTACTTAAAATAATGACATCACCCCTGGCTGCTGCGGCTCGGTGGACTGAGCGCCAGCCTGCGAACCGAAAGGTTGCCGGTTCAGTTCCCAGTCAGGGCACATGTCTGGGTTGTGGGCCAGGTCCCCAGTAGGGGGCGCTTGAGAGGCAACCAATGTATCTCACACACATTGATGTTTCTTTCCTTCTCTTTGTCCCTCTCTTCCCTTCTCTCTAAAAAGTAAATACAAAAAAAAGGAGTGGGCCAATGACCCTTGAGGCACAATTCTTTTAAAAAAATGATATGGAAAGATATCAAAGCATTAAAAAAGCATGAAAAAGAAAGCTGCTAAACAGTATCAATATTAGAATATGTATAATTGCTTCAACCGTGTAAAAACTATAGGTGTATATCACAGAAAATTTTTGGATTCAATCAAATGTTAATGACTTACCACTGGTGATGCAGGTAAAGGAAGAAATGAGCAACTTAAATATGTCATTTTGATTTTTTACAGGCATGTATTAGCATAATAATCTTTTTTAAAAAGATAATTTTATACTTAGGGCAGAGTTGCAAAAGTAGTATAGAGTTTATATGGAATATAGACCTTCACCTAGCCTTCCCTTGTATTAGCATTTAATAACAGGTGCTAATAACAGAACAGAGGTTCTTAACCAGAGGTGATTTTTTTTCCCCGGGGGAAATATGACAATGTATTTTTAAAAAAGATTTTATTTATTCTAAGGGGAGGAAGAAGTGGGGAGAGAGTGAGACGGAGAGAAACATTGATCAGTTGCCTCTCATATGCTTTCCAACCCAGGACCAAACCCACAACATAGGCGTGTGCCCTGACCAAGAATTGAACCATTGACCTTTTGCTAGCAGGAGGAGGCCCAACAAACTGAGCCACACCTGTCAGGGATTGACAATGTCTTAACATGTTTGGTTGTCACAAAAGAGGGGAGGGAAATGTTACCGGCATTTAGTGGGTAGAGGACAAGGGTGCTGCTAAATAACCTATAATGCACAGCCTCCAGAACAAAGAATTATCCAGCCCAAAATGCCAACAGTGCCAGAGCTGAGAAACTCTGCCATGGAATATCAAAGAAGTCAACACTGGTACAATACTATTAGCTAAACTAGACTTGAATCCACATTGTCACACCTCCTTTGTCTCTTCTCATATGTGACAATTTTTAGGTCTTCCTTGTCTTGCATGATCTTAATGCTTTTGAATAGCAGAATGGCCCTGATTTTGATGTTTTGTCATGATGGGGTTTGTTGGGTATTTTCTCATGATTAGAATGAGGTTATACATTATTGGGAAGGATACCATAGAGACAATATAACCTCAGTGCATCATACCTAGTATGCGATGTATTCCTGGTTGTAATAAGATATTTGCTGCAATAACAAATTACCCCACAATTTAATGGCTTAACATTTATTTTCTCACAGCTTCTGTGGCTTAGGAATCCAGACACAGGTTAGCTGGTGTCAGCAAGGTGGGTGTGGTCTAATCTGAAGGCTTAAGCGGGGCAGGATCTGCTTCTAGGTTCTCTCCTGTGTCTGCTGGCAGGCTCCAGTTGCTAACAGGATATTTGTCTGAAGACTGCAGTTCCTTGCTGGCTACTATTTGGGGGCCTCCCCATAAGGCAGCTCACAGCATTAGCAGCTGGCTTTCATCAATGAACAAATGAAAGAGCAAGACAGAAGCCAGTCTCCTTGCAACCTCATCTCAGAGGTGATATGCCATCACTTTTGCCATGTTCTATTTGTCTGAAGCTAGGTCTAGTCTATAGTCAAGAGGAAGGGATTACACAAGGGTGTGAATACACAAGGACAAGGGGATCATTAGGCACCACTTCAAAGGTTACATACCACACCTGCAACGTTAACTTTGATCATTTGGTTAAGGCAGTTTCCGAACTTACTATTGTAATGAATACTTTTGAGGAGATACTTTGAGACTGTGACCTTTCAACATGTCTTCATCCTTTTTGTTTTGGGCACTTCCTACTTCCTGACATCACAGGATGTTCCATGCTCAGCTCATATCTTCCTGCCCCTAGCTCTGGAAACAAACACTTCTCCAAGAATCCCTGGCTTCTTTCATTGGAGAATGTTATTTAGACACCAAGACCTGGGTGTTGGGCATGCTCATTGCTAGTGGGGTGTCACTGCTTCTGGTCCTTCTAGGTGGAAAAAAGAAATAAATGTATACACACATATCTGCATTGCCCATATAAATAGTAAATAAAAACCATGTCCACAGGGATGCCTCCAGGTCTAATCCAGTCCTACAGGGTTCATTCTAACCACACCCTTCCACTCACTGATCCTCATTTTATTTGTAACTTCTTTCTCCAGCAGTAAGAAACCTGGCTCTCATTATTTACAATATATTTACCCATTTGTTCAACTGTGTGGACATATGCGTACAAAGTTTCAGAACTGCTAAATCATACCCCTATGAGGAACGTATTTACCAACTAGAGTACAGTGTTTTTGCACACTTTTGTCCATAACCTTCCTTGTACCCCATCATATACTACTTAAAATTTTTTTCTAAGATTTCATCTATTTATTTTTAGAGAAGGGGAAGGGAAGGAGAAAGAGGGAGAGAAACATGTGCAAAATCCATCGATTGCTTCTCACACATGCCCAATGGGGGATCTGGCCCGCAACTCAGACATGTGCCCTAACTGGGAATTGGGCCCGCAACCTTCCAGTTCACAGACCAAAGCTCAGTCCCCTGAGCCACACCGGCCAGGACCCCCATCATATACTTTTCCCAAACTTAGGCCAGCTTTCATCCTCAGCTTCTTCAGTGTAGTCATGTGATTCATCTGTAATATAGGCAGATTCATCTGATGGCCTGCATTCCATCTTTCTTCCTACATCCTCCTTGACAAATGAAGAGTTCTGCATCTATCACCATACTGCCCTTTTATGTTTAAAAAAGAAACATAACAAAAATCAATAAAAATACTAATTAACAAGAATGGGATATATAATTTATATGGAAAGACGTCAAAAGCATAAAACAGCAAACTGCATGGCATGTGATTACAGAACGTATAATTATCCTAATTGTATAAAAACTATAGGTTGTGTTTTAGAAAATGTCTGTATTCACTCGAGTATGTTAATGACTTCCCCTGGTGGGAGGGGTGGTTTAATATAAAACAATTTTTAACATAACATCTGGATTTTTTTACAAGCAGATATTAGCATAGTTATGTTACAAATAAAACTGAAGTTTATACCAATGCACTGAAAAAGTCCTGACCTAGGAGACTGGAGTGAGTAAAGGGGTTTCACTTTTAGTGTGCACTTTTCTATGCTGATTTGAATTTATAAGGAATCACCTGTAAAGGCTTTCACATAGTTTATTATTACATCTTTTTTTTTGCTTTACTTCAGGTTTTATATTTGTTAATTTATTATATATGTATTTTTTATCAAATTTATTGGGGTGATACTGGTTAATAAAAGGCTGTCATAGAGTTAAAAAATTTCAGTGTGGGGTTGTATTTTAACAGACAGGTAAAGGAGAGATTGATTGAGCTCTAAGTGTAAGAAGAAGGGTACCTGGAAACAGATATCTCTTAGGGACAGACGGGAAACCAAGAGGCGGGTAGAGATGTGACTAATGGAGACAAAAGAGAAACATTCTCAACTGACTACAGGCCAGCAGCATCCCAGGCAGCTGGCAGATTCACCTCCCAAGAAGCTTGGTGGTGAAGGGAAGGCAGAGGCTGGGAGGAGCTTGGGGGGAAGGGAAGGAACACTGGGTTGGACTTGACTGTGTTTGTGTACTGAGGTAGGATAGGGCAGGTCAGTGCAAGAGAGGGGAGAAAGAATGGAGCTAGGTTTTGGGTGAAGCTCTTGAGAAGGCTCCAGGTCTGGGAAAGGACAAGGCCAAGGTCGACCCTAGGATCTATGGCTAGGAGAACAGAGATGGGGTGTTTGGCATCCTGTCTACTCACATCTTGGAGAAGGCTGGAGACAGCTAATAAAACCACACAGCAGACATCCTGCTGTTTTAACCGCACTATCTCACTAAGATATGAGTATCATCGTGGTACCCCATTTCAAGGAGGAAACTGAGGACCAAAGAAGCTGACTTCCCCAAATCCCACTACTAATGATCAGTCAAAATTCAGCCCATGCCATACTGTCTTGCTCTGTCCACTAGGACTTTGTAAGTGCCAGGAACTGTAGATGCTTAACCATGTTTTGTCTCATCTGTACTTCACAACATGACAATGAACTATCAGTTCCAGTTTGGAAAAGGAGGTGAAGGCTTAGGGAGGTTAAATAACTTGCCCAGGGTTACTGTTGGTATCAGAGCTGGGACTCTACCCATAGTCTGTCTGAATCCAGAACTGGTATTCCTAAGTACTACATCTACTGTTCCTACCCAGAGGCTCCTTGGTCTATCAGGATGAAAATCATCTCAGGATCTCTTGCCCTTCAGGAATCCATGGAAAGCCCCAGAGCACTGGGCTTCTACTCTACTGGTTTGTTCTTCCCTCACTGATCCAGTCAATCTTGAGCCCTTACTGAGCAGCTGCACACTGAGGGTATAGTGACAACAAGATGCCAATCTCCCCTCCTTAAATAACTCTCATTCAAAGATGACAACAATGAAGCAAGCTGCTTCTAAGTTTTTATTAACATGACTTTTTAAAAACAAGCATTCATACCAGTATGGGGGTTGAGGGTGGGAGAAGAGGGGAGAGTTAGGGAGGGCAGAGTGTAGAGGAGGAATTCTGCTTTATTGGTAATAAAGCTCCAGGTTCATCCCATCGTGGATTTCATCTGAAGTAAAGGTGTTAAGGAAGCATTACTGTGGGTTTGGTCCCCACCCTTTCACCTCACAGCTGGGACAGGGCAGCTTAAGCGTTCAGCCCAGAGCCAAGGAAGCCATTTTGGACAGGGTCATTTTGATATGGAAAGAATCCAAACTATTAAAAAAAAAGTTCATGATCCTTTTGCATAGCTGACTCATTCCATCCCAACCTCCTGTCCACACTAGGTGGAGCTCAGTAATAAATATTTGGACCTTAAAGTGTCTTCTAAGCTTCAAAACATTTAACAAGGAAACCACACTCCTCCTCCAACAAAATAATCACGTGACTCCTATTTTCTAAATGCTTACCATGTGCTACATACTAAGTTAAACATCTTATACTATAATCTCAGACTCAGTATTGAACAAAGAGAACTAGGACGCAGTGTGTGGACCTTTCCTCAAGAAATCACACAAAGGATACAGTCCCCCAGAGAAACGTGGTCCTTAAAAATCGTGTACCTGAAAGACAAATACCAAATGATTTCACCTATAAGAGGAATCTAATGAACAAAATAAACTAATGAACAAAATAGAACCACTGTGAAAACATGGAACAGAATGAAAGTGACCAGAGGGGACGGGGAGGAGAATACTGATGGAAAGAAGGGGAAGGGACTAGACAAAGAACATCTATGAATAACCCACAGACATGAACAGTGTGGGAATTGACTGTGGGAGCAGGGGTGAGCTGGGCAGAGGGGGAAAATTGGGCCAACCATAATAGAATAACAATAAAAAATGATTTGAAAAAAGTAAAAAACAAAACAAAAAAGGTGTACCTACAGGATAGCAACCTTTCAGACAGAAACCTGAGGTGGCTCTTCACCCTGGAGGTAAGCTAAGGAAGCCCCGGCTAAGCAAAGGGCTGTCTGCAGCACTCCTCCAGCCCAAACCTTCTGATGTAGCCTGTCCAGTCGGTCCCCCAGCTCTGTCACTGCACTCACCACTTCTTTAATACGATCTTGTTCCAACGGGTACCCGTTTGGGCTGCGATCAGCTTCTTAAGGTCCCCGATGGTGTCATCGGTGCTGGGCGCAGAAGAGTTAAGGAAAATGGTACGGAGTAGTAGAACGAAGAAGAGGGCATTGCAGGGCGGAATGCACTTTGCCAAGACCCCATCCGCCCCCTCTACAACACAGACTGAGTTGTCTCACTCCAAGCACCCCCAGGGACCACTGTCTCTCCGCCAGCAGTGGATACTTGCACTTTACCCGGACCTTCTTCCCCAGACGGTCGTTGCAAACAACCTCGATCATCCTGTCTGGAACTACAGAGGGTAGTAGTTGGGAAGCAGCAGAGGCGGGACGTCAAAGTCTCCCAGGCCCCAAGACCTCCGGTTTAGACTTACATTCACTTCCCAACCCCCAGACGCGAGTCCTCCGGGACCCCAAGTTCCCTGTCCCAGGACCGCGGATTTCACCTAGCCGCGCCAACCCCCCTTTAGGTCGCCTCTCTCGGGACCGCAGACCGTCGATAGTCGGGTCCCGACAGCTTTCTCCAACTCCAGACCGCTCCGCTTGGCCCCTCACCTCGAATCGCCTAGAACCTACCGACGCCACAACCTAGTCGTGCGAAAGCGAAGCCAGGACCCGAGTCGACGCGGAGAACCGGAAGCGGAAGTGCGCAACTTAAAGCCCCTCCCCCGGTGCTAGTAAACGCCCCATCGCATTCTTTGCCCTACCAGCCCTGCGTAGGCTTGTGGTCCTCAGGCGGGGCTTTGGGGTCCCCGGTTTGGGCAGGGGAAACTTGGAGCTGGTGCGTGGGGCCGAGTGGGGGGTGCCAGCCTGTGGAGGGCCGGGGGAAGGTGCATGGAGGGAGGGTCAGAGGTCAGGGGTCAGGGCCCATCTGGTTAGGGTCTCATTCGCTGTGGGGAGACACCGTCAGTTGGTGGGGACCCTAGAGGGGCCGGGTGACCTACTGTTCTTGAGCCTGCCTGTGCCTCTTACTGCAACTACGGGGCCTACGGGAAGCCGAGTCGAGTCCCGCCCTCTGCCTTCATTCTGGGCTGGGTCTCCCCTCTAGGGTGCAGACTATAGTCGATAAGCGAAGGAAACGAAGGGGCTGATCCTGGATCCTGGCCTGGATACCAGCACTTATTAGAATGGACGTTGCACGCTAACAGCAACAGAAACGAGGAAGGTGGAAACGGCACACAGGCAAAATCTTCCAGGTTTTTATCTTCAACAAAGGTAGCTTCCGCCCTTAAGTAAGCACTTTGTAGATCTCAAACATACCTTGTAGCCCCGGTACTACAGGTTGGTCCCCCGGGCTGGTGCGACAGGGGGTGCTCCTCCCTATGTTCTGTGGATGAAAGGGAGTTCTAAGGATAGTAACCTCACTGGGTGATCTGATCATAAATTCCAAACTGGGAGGTCATAGTGGGTAGTCTTGTCCCAGGCATATAACGTTTTAGTAAAAGGTTTACTTTGCTTTAAGCAAGCCCTGTCCATTGTTTTTGAGAATCTAGGTTAACACACCGTTGTAATAAGCCTCACCACAATCAAGAGAGCACATAATCTTGTTAACTATCCTGTAATCCAATCTCTGCCTTTCTCTCCTTGCTGGTTTCCTCCTTAATTTCAAATGCATAAGAGCCACAAAACTTGCTCTGTGGAGCATTTGAGATTTTCCCAGCATGTGGTCAGTTTGGCTCAGATAAAGTCTTATAAAAATTCTCTACAGGTTTGGATGTTTCTTATGTTGATACCCCAAGATAAATTGCTGAGGCCTATTTTCCTTGGTGCTTTTTGGTATTTTCCCAGATTACCTACAACGAACATGTTATGTTTGTAAGGGGGTGGGGTGGGGTAGTAAATGTGAGTTGTTTTTTTTTTTAGTCCTCACCTGAGGACATTTTTCATTGCTTTTAGAGAGAGAGAAAGGGGGGATGAGAGAGGGAAACATCAATTGGTAGCCTCCCTGACAAGCCCAACCAGGGATCGAACCTTTTGGTGTACAGGAGGATGATGCTTCAACCAACTGAGCACACTGGCCAGGGCTGCTGGTTTGTTTGTTTGTTTTAAAGGAAGTTCTAATTTCTCAACGTTATTCAAAGATAGCTCAAGCACAGGATCATGGTGCTGAGTTATGGGCTGGGGGAGATCGGAAAGGGATGGGGAGCATTTTGGAAAGGGGAGGAAAATAAGTCTGAGGTTGCTGGAGGCTTGGGGTCCATGGGGAGCTCCAGCTGGACTAAGCTGTCCTGAGCGGGGCAGGCAATGGGCAGTCCCAGAACTAGACTGCCAGTGCTACAGACACACCCCTGAACCCAGGTAAGAGGGGGAGGGGGCCTCAGGGCACAGGACACCACACCCGGGTAATGTTAATTTGGGGCTTCTTACCAAAGGGCTCAGTGACTGTGCATTGAAGGGCCAGGGCAGCCCCATGCCCCTGCCTGGGAGGTAGTAGGATCTGCAGTCAGATTTGCTCCTTCTTGGGGAGGTAGGTGCTTCCTAGGAAGGAGAGGTCTGGGTCCTGACCCAAGGAGCAAGTTGGGCAGGCCCCTTCTGCTCTCTTGTTTCCTGGGTTTCTGGCCCAGAGGAAGGAGCTTTCTTATGGGGATCCCTTCTCTTCATTCTGCAGGTGGGGCAGAAGATGGTTCTTAGGAACCTCCTGTAACTGTGCTGATGGCAGAGATACCTTCACACCCAGGGTTCACCAGAGGGGAATCATCTTAGGGGTAGAGGGAGTTGTTCAGGAGATCCCTTTCCCTAAAATCTCAGCATGTCAGCAGGCCTTGAAGGTACAGCAATGACCAGGGCTGACCTGCCACCTCAGAGTTCAGTCTGATAGAGGAGGAAGACAAAGAAGAAAAATGAAGAGGTTTTTGCAACACACTGTGATGGGTGGTGTGAGTGGAAGCCCAGGCCTTGGGAGCCCAGAAGGTATTGTCTCTGCAAGATGATGTGGGTTTTCCGGAGGAAATCACGACCATAGAGCATCTTGAAGGAGGCCATGTTCTGGGATCAGAAAAATTTGAGATTGGGGTCCTAGCATATGACTTGACCTCTGTGCAATTCTTTTGATATTTTCTTTCAGTCACAAGATGGCTGCCAGAGCTGGAAACATGTTTCCTGTGCTCTTGTTTAAGGAAAAATATCAAAGGTTTTATTTATTAATAAATACTTGGGACTTATTTTTTTTCCAGGTAATATGTACTTGCACATGGTAAAAATTCAAGTAGTATAAAAGTATCTATACAGCACACAAAGTTGGCTTGCCTTCAGACCCCCGCCCCTCCCCAGGAACAACTACCCTTAAAAGTTTCCATTTTGTAGCCCTGGCCAGGTGGCTAGGTGGCAGCATTGGCCCATACACTAAAAGGTTGTGGGTTTGATCCCTGGCTCAGGTGCATAATGATTATGTTCTTTTTCAATTACTATTTTAAAAATGAGTGATATTTAGTCTGGCTGGTGTGGCTCAGTGGGTTGAGTGCCAGCCTGTGAACCAAAGGGTTGCCAATTCGATTCCCAGTCGGTGCACATACCTGGGTTGCTTGCCAGAACCTTGGTTGGGGGCTTGAGGAGGTGGCCCATGGATGTATCTCCCGCACATCGACGTTTCCCTCCCTCTGCTTCCCCTACCCTTCTCTTCTCTCTAAAAATAAGTAAAATCTTTTTAAAAATAAATAAAAATGAGTGACATTTGATAGGACTGTCAACTCAGCCTCTACGGCAACAATGTCACTATCAATCAAAACGAAAAGTTCAACATGCCCTTTAACAAATTATTTCTTGTCTACAAATTATTCTAGTGCATATGCATAAAAAACATTAAGATTGAAAAGTAGAAGCCACGCACTCCGCCCTGGACCGCTCCAGGGTTCGTCACCGCCTCTGCTTCACCTTCCTGGCTCCGCGGTGGTACCCAGCCCCGGCCCTCCCCGTCTGCTCCCGGCCCTGCTCCCTGGCCTGTCACCACCCCAGCCACGCCTTTCGAGTTTGGTCCGGTCCGAACCCTAACCTCGGCTCTGTGGCTGGTCCTGGTCCCCATCTCAGCCCTGGCGCTTCCCGTCACTTGGGAGGTTGGTCCTTGTCCCAAGCCCCGCCCCCGAGGAGCCTCACGTTCCTTAAGCCCGCCCCCAACCGTCCCCCCCGCTCCCCCCCCCCGCCCTTAGCCACGCCCCCTGTGTCGCCAGCGCCCCAGAGAGGCCTTTCCGGCTTACTACTGGTTGGAAGCTCATTCCACGCTTCTGGTCCGAATCCCTGGGAGGGGCTGAACCACGTTCCCTCTGAAGGAAAGCTGAAACTCTCCGCTGGTCACCAGAGGCCGTTGTCACCTCCCTGCCCACACCCCACTACCCTCGCCTCCTAAGGCGCTCCCAGGGCGAATCACGGAGTTCCTTTACCAGAAGTGGCAATGTGTGTCAGCGGGATCATGGCGACTCTTTCGGACTTGCCGGACTTAGTCCTGTTGGAGATCTTTTCTTACCTCCCCGTCCGGGACCGGATTCGCCTCTCCAGGTGCGGCCTCCCCCCAGTCGTTGGGAGGGCCCCGTGGTTGGGAGGGCGGGAGGGGAAGGGCCGGGCAGGGTTAGGGTTGTTCTAACGGCATTCTCCTTCCTCAGGGTCTGTCGCCATTGGAAGAGGCTGGTGAACGACGGGTGGCTGTGGCGACACATTGACCTGTCCGTCTACCAGGTAAGTGAGGTAGGCGGGGCAGACTTGGGCCGTGGTCTGTTGGCCGGACCTCAGGGACCAGCCCCCTCCCACCCTGGATTTCCAGCCAGGCTGTCCTGGGCACATCCCGCCTGCGTTGCCTACGTGTTCCTTTGCTACCTCCTGGCCTGTTTCCCCGTCTCTAAAGTGAGGATAGCCGAGATTGTTAGGGAATGGGGCTTAGTGTCTGAGATGTACATAGTCAGCATATGATAAATGCTGGTTGATGACTAGATTATCACTTATGATTATTATAATTGATGAGTTTTCATGGGAAAATCATTTTCCATAGTCAACTTATTTCCAGAATTAATTTCCTGAGTAGTGCAACTGAACCGTTTCCACTTTCTACCATTTGCATTTTTTGTTTTTATTGTGCATTATTTCAAATATATAGAAATGTATAGAGGATAACATGATTTCAAAGAAACAGGTACTCACCACCTAGATTTAACCTGGTTTATTCTTTGGCCTTATTTACTGAGGATCACATGAAGCACGCGCACACACACACACACACACACACACACACGACATTTATAGATATATTTTTTGCCCTTTTTGAAACCCCCCTCAGAGGAACCACCATATAAAATGGAATCGTAACTTTCCTTTGGCTTTCTATTTACTACCTATGTGTGTGCCCATAAGCCATATATAGTACTGTTAATGTGTTTCTAAAGTTTAGATAATGGTATTCTATTTAGAAAATTAAATGCTGTTTTACCTATATTTCCACCCACAACTAGCTTTATTCACATTACATCACTTTTTAAAAAAAAATTGTTTGAGAGAGAGAGGAAGGGGGAGGGAGAGGGAGAAAGAAACATTGAGTTATTGTGCAGTTTGCATTTGCGATCAGGGCACATACCCAGGTTGCAGGTTCTATTTGGTCAGGGCACGTACTAGAAGGAAGCAATGCATGTTTCTCTCTCAAACTGATGTTTTTTTTTCTCTCTCTCCCTTCCTCTCTAGAAGCATTAAAAAAAGTCCCCCTTGAGTGCTTAAAAAACAAAACAAACTTGCAAAGTGGAAAGTTTTGTTTTGTAAGTTTGACACTAATTCATTTGTTGCCAAAACCTGACCTGAAGTGGGTTGAAGATATTAATGTCCTTTTTCTTATTCCACTTAGAATAAATAGTCTTATGTTATACTGAATAATATTAACCTGATAACAGGGTGCTGACCTAGACCCCACTATTGGTGTTGCATATGGTGTCTATACCATGTTAATTCTGAATTCTGAAACCCATCTGTCCACAAGGGTTTTGGATAAGGAATTGTGGCCCTATATAGAAATTATTTTTATTGAGATTACCTTTTTAAAAATGATTATTGTTTTCTGTATTATTTTTTCCTATCATCTTATGAAAAATTTTAAACATACACAAAAGTTGAAAGAATAGTACAGGGAACACCAAGATATGCCACCGTTTATAGTGAACTACATTTGTTTTATCACCTGTTGACTCATCCCTCTTTCCATCCACCAATCCATTTTATTTTCTAAATACATTGCAAAATAAATTGCAGATAAAACAAATAAAAACAAAAAAAGTTAAAATATTACTACAGATGAAGCTAAGAGCCTCTGATAGTTGTTTCCTGGTGCCCTTAACCCTTCCCCAGAGTAACCAGGATTCAAAATATGCAAAATAATAAAAGGTGGAAAGGAATGTCTCCCCCCAACAATCTTGTCACCCAGGTCACCTTGGCTTTTCCCCCAGAGGCAGCAAATACTCCCTTTTTCTTTGGAGTCCTTTTGGGGGTATTCTCTGCATGCAAAAATATAATTATCTTTATTAAAAAGCAAAATAGGTGGTAGTGGGTATCTACATTTTACATTTTAATAAAAATCACCAGATTGCATTCCAAAGTATCGAGACTAATTCCCACCAGCAGGGCTCGAGAGCTGGTTCTCCACATGTAGGCTAATATTTGATATTCTGAAACAAAAAAATTTGTCCTTCAAACTTGAAGGTTTAAATTTGGCCAGGAAGATGTGATTCCTCTGTCAAAAATAGTCAAAAAATTTATGCTGTGTTTTCTTTATTATTTTTCTAGGTAAAATGTACATACAGTGCAATGCACAGTGCTATCAGTTGTTTGTTTTCTTAGTCTAACTTCTCAGGACTACTTTTTTACAGCTTTTGCTATTACCAGGCTGTGATTTTTTTTTAAACCTAGAACTGATGTACCCTGGGCAGTTTTAGCTTTTTTCAGTTTTCTTTTACGTTATTGTTTCTTTCCAAGGTGGTCGTTAAAATAGGGATAAAAATCTTGGTTACTTACTCCACAACATAATGAGAATCCACTCTGTTGCTAAAGACAGGTCTGTTATAGTCTTTTTCTTGCATTGCTTTTATTCAAATCTGGAAGTCAAAGTGTTGGGGTTAAATTGTTTTGTTACTCTGGAGAAGTGTCTGGTCAGATGAAGTTGGTGGTGGAAGGATAATTCCAGGGGAGCAGCAGAAATCCCACTGGGGTTCATCTGACTCCAGGTAGGTGAGGACCTTGGAAGATCACTGTGTCTCTCACCTAGTCACCCCTATCTTTGGCTCTTAGGTGCGGCCTAAAGTCATATGGCACCTCCTTCACCGGTACATGACATCTCGCCTCCATTCTTTGCGCCTGGGTGGCTACCTGCTCTCAGGCTCCCAGGCTTCGCAGTTGTCCCCAGCCCTGATGAACGCTCTGGGCCAGAAGTGCCCCAACCTGAAGCATCTCTGCCTGCATGTGGCCAACCTGAGCATGGTGCCAGTCACCAGTCTGCCTTGTACCCTGAGGACCCTGGAGCTGCACAGTTGTGAGATTTCCATGGACTGGCTCCTTGAGGGGCAGAACCCCACCGTGCTGCCCCTACTTGAGTGCCTGGTGTTGTCTCGAGTTCCTGCCTTTCGGGATGAGCACCTGCAGGGCCTGACGCGCTTTCGCGCCCTGCGCTCACTGGTGCTGGGCGGCACCTACCGGGTGACTGAGATGGGATTGGATGCAAGCCTGCAGGAACTGAGCTACCTGCAAAGGTTGGAGGTGCTGGGTTGCACCCCTTCGGCTGATAGCACCCTCCTGGCCATTAGCCGCCACCTCCGAGATGTTCGGAAGATCCGGGTGACCATCAGAGGCCTCTCTGCCCCTGGTCTGTCAGTCCTGGAGGGAATGCCAGCCCTGGAGAGTCTGTGCCTGCAGGGCCTGCACATCACCCCGGAAACGCCTTCCCCAGCTGAAATAATCTCCTCCTGCCTCACCATGCCCAAGCTTAGGGTCCTTGAGCTGCAGGGGCTGGAGTGGGAGGGTCAGGAGGCAGTGAGGATCCTGTGTAAGGGCCTGCCCCACTGTCTGGTCATTGTCAGGGCCTGCCCCAAAGAGTCTATGGACTGGTGGATGTGACTCACCACCTGTCCCTGAGGTGTATCAGTTTTTATCAATGAGACCCAAGCCCTCTAGGCAGTACCTTGCTGCTGATAGGTAATTAGATTAAAGGGGCCTGAAGGCCAAAGGTAGAGAGAGGCCAATGATCTTGGCACCGCCAGATCATTGGAATTGTTTGCCACCTGTGTAGCTTCTGTGACATCAGCTGGCCTGGCCTCCACATCTGGAAATGGGGAAGACTATAGCTACCTCACAGTTATGTTGCAAAGCCTTACACTTTCCTGGGCCCGAGAAGGTCCTCAGTGAAGGGTCATTGTCAGACAGCCCTCAGGAACAGGAGGGATGCAGAAGGGTGTGGTTAGGAGTTAGGGGGACCGGAAGGGCTAGGGCCCCTTAGGAAGCTTGGAAGGACTGTGTACACACCCACACACCTCCACACTGATTATACCTACATGCATGGATTAAAGTGTTAATGAATTTTATTTCATTTTTTTGTATTTTATATTTCCTGAGTTTTCCACAATATATATTACTTTACTATTAAAGAAAAATACTTATTTTGTTTAGAAAAAGAAAGCATTCAGTTTATTCAACACACATTTCTAAAGCCCCTGCAATTTTGCAGGCACTGTCCTAGGTGCTGGGTCACAGCAGTGACCAAACAGACAAGACCTGAGAAGACAGGGTGATAAACACATGAGCACATCCAGGGAACAGTTTCAGAAATGGAGACAATAAGCCAGGGTCATGTGTTGGAGACGCATGGTTGGTAGCGTGGGCCTCTGAGCTGTGTTGAGTAACCAGCCCTGGGGAGTGCTGGGGCAGATAGAAAAGGCAAAGTTGTTGGTGGAAATGAACTTGGCATTTCCAGGAACTGGACAAAGGTCCCTGTGGTTGAAGGAATGAGAATTGAGCAATAGGAGTGAAGTCAGAGATGAGGGGGTGAGGTTGGACAGGGCCTCACAGGTGGCTCAGGTTTTAGGGGCTCCTCTTCCTGCGTTTTGAGTCTGAACCACTTGAAACATGCAGGTGGCAGACTGATAGTGATCATGGGCGCCACCTGGTGAGATGAGCGTTACTTCTGAGCTGAGCTAGGTAGGAGGGCTGTATGGTCTTACCACCTGCCCCCTCAGCCAGCCTGCTCTGTGGTGGGCAGAGCCAGGAGAGAGACGGGAGCTGAGCTGGGTATCCTTGTGTGTTGTCACCTTTCAAGGCCAGGCAGGTTCATGGTATTCGTGCAGATGGAAGAAGATTCTCGGGGCCTTTGAGATGTCTGGCGTGCCTTTATTCACTGGCGGGCGAGCCACGCACACTGCAAGCTGCATGTCTATATGCATGTCTCATGTCATGGCCTCTGCTCCCCAGTGTGGCCCCCATCGTGGCACCTGTCCCCTGGTGTGTGTCTCTCATCATCATCGCTCCTAGTAGGGAGTCCCTACCTGTTTAAGTACTAGAGGGGAACAAAGCTGGCAAGATGCCGGAACGTTACATAACATAACATAGTTCTGAGCATGCGAGCCCACTTCATGTTATGGGAACAGTTTATTGGACCCAGTCTCAAGGCTGTGAGAACACTGGTTATCAGGCCCCTCCAAGGCTATGGGAACATTGCTCTCCTTAGTTACCCAGACACCTGGGTGAGGAAGCCAGACTGCCTCCACTTACCCTACACCTTGATTCCTTATTCCAAGTGTGTCTGTCAGGGAAGACTCAGGTGTTTCTCCCATTCTTTTCCCACTGGAGGGTAGAGTGGAAATTCCCTCCTTATCTGGCCACATGAGCACTGGGGTATGAGTTCTCCCTTAGTATGGCCATAGTTAGGGTCTACTGGTCCCAAACCACGACAAACCTGGCGGTTCCAGCTCAGCACTGGGGCACTGGGTAGATCCAAGCTGTGGCATGCGGACTGGAGAAATGTCGGGTGGGGAAATGAGGTCTTTCTGGAGACCTGGGATCGATTGTAGGGACTGTGATGGAAGGGCCAACACCAATGCTGCCTGGGCCGGCCCTGCTGGTGGTCCTGTGTCGGGAGCTGACCAACAGCTGACCTTTGACACAGTCGGGTTGGGTGAGACACATTTGCACAGCAGAGGCGACTATGGTTGGATCTCCTGTCTATCTCTTCCTGTATGCCTGTCCCTGCTAGCAATAGGTGGTGGGATTTTTAGATACCTGTGTGTTATAACAAAAAATTTGCACGATGCCTCTGATTCTGCGTGAAATGATTTGTTGACCACAGAATAGAGACCCCTAGCAATCCTAATGTTGCCTGTTTCCCTCACCTGGGAAATTAAGGACAAAATTAAACTATGGGCAGACCAACTGCCAGAATGCTGAAGGAAGCTGTTGCTAGGAATGTTTCTTAGGGAGTCACCACCTGAAAGCTTAAGATTAATTAGAACCACTACCCCTCCCATACCCTGGACAGGAGTGTATAGAAACAAGGAGTTCTAGTTGAGAATAGTAATCTCAATACATGGAAACAAACACAAAACATGGCCCCTCCCCAAGATGTATAAATCAAAAAATATAGGCCAAAAATTAGTTATTTGATTGAGATAAATTTAATTTTAATGGATAATAGTTGATTTCTATATACCTATAAATCACCCCTTGCACCCTTTTAATTTAGACCAATTCCTAGAATTTTAATAGGTGCCTAGTTACTAATTGGCACCTGAAAATTTGTGCCCATATAGCTTCATTGGCTAACTAATTAATGACCCTCTTAGTCAAAATAACCTTTGTTTAATATGGTTGATCTGTGGGACTTCCTGTACTTTTCGGCTATTTCTTTGTTTAACATGATTGATCCGTAAAATCTTCTGTGTTTTTAGAAATTATTTCTGTGGTAACCGTTTCTGTTTTAATAATCACACTATGCATTGAATGTTGTATAACCTCCCCTATAAAAATAAAGATTGATTTTTCTCGGTGAGTCAGTTGGGCCCAAAAAGCCTGACTGTCCTCCGGCACCCCACCCGGTATCTCAATTCAGTCTCTTTGCCTTAGCCATGCATCCTTTGGGGACCCTGAGATCCTGCCGAGGCTGGACCCCAGCAGTCCTGGAGGTGGGCTGCAGATGCTCCACCTAAAGCAGTTCTAGGGGGAAAAAAAGCTGCTTCCTTTCACTCAGCCTTTCTAGGAGGAACAGAGAAGCAGATGTGAAGTTCAAGTCAGTGGTGCACATGTAAACGTTTAACAGTGTTAGCAGGTGGTGGTGGTGGGGAAGCCCTGATGTGAAGGATTAGTAGAGGGCAGATTTGTGTGGTGTAAATACTCCCATCATGGCTGCTTTCAGGCTACCAATGGTTTAACAGCTGATTCACAAGATTCCTGAAAGTTTAGTAATGGGTAGTCCTGAGCTGCCATGAACAGCACTGGTTAGAGGGGTCTTCTAGAGGACTCACTCTACCTTAGTGACCCCTTTCTGGGCTTAGCTCTGAGGGGTGGTGTGGTTACAGGATGTCATATAGCTTCCCACTTCTTGATATCCCCCACCCCTAACCATTGTCTTCTCCTGGATAAGGGGCTACAGCCTTAAGAATAACCTCTACTTGAAAATATACCTGAGATTTGTTTCAATCATGGATAGTAAGGTGAGTGACAGGCAGACAACTTTCTGAAAAAAAGTTCATTACATACAATTCCCAGGAGAAGGGGGCATGCCTTGCCACTCATGGCCACACTGGGGTGCACCAGAATTGGTCAGAAAGAGTGAGGGTAAAGCATGAGCAGAGGATTTATTATGACTTTTGTGGGAAGGAATAGGCGAGGCAGGGTAAGCAAGTTGAGCAAGTTTAAGCAAGTTTACAATTGGCTAATTTGAATAATTTCAGTGGGCTCTAGGGGTTGTCCTTAGTTGTCTGTTACTTGGTCCTGAGGTGACTTAGGGCAAAGTGTATATTGGTTTAGAGTGGAAGAGATAGATAGGTTGAATTGGTTAGTTTGCATTTGAAAGGTGTGCCAGAAGATAAGTTGTTTGTTGTCTCCAGGAATTATCCAACCTTTGCTGGGGTGGTCCTTCCCCAGGTTCGCAAGGCCCTAAGATGTCAAGGCATTATAAAATACAGGAAATTTAAAAAGCATGATCAATACTCTTTCCAGGATAGGTTAAGGACCACCACAACAGCCGACATTATTGAGTGTTTATTTTGTGTCAGGCACTGTGCTCAGTCCTTCCTGCTTGACTTGGCCTCCTACGAGCACCCCAGTGAAGAAGGCACAGAGGGAGAAGAAACTGTTAATCAGAAAAGTTAAGTTGTCCAAAGTCACATAGCTGTTAAAAAGAGCAGAATTTGACCCCTGGCTGGTGTGGTTCAGTGGATTGAGTGCTGGCCTGGTAACCGAAGGATTGCCGGTTTGATTCCCAATCATGGCACATGCCTGGGTTGTGGGCCAGGCCCCCAGTGGGGGTGTGTGTGGGAGGTGGTCAGGCATTGATGTTTCCCTCTCTTTCTCCTTCCTTTCCCCTCCCTCTAAAAATGGCTAAAATTTTTTTTTAAAAAGAAAAAAGCAGAACTTGAGTAACCTTATTCCACAATCTTAACCATTATGTAAAGTTATGTTGTTAATGTGTAACAGTACCGAAAGGATGGCTCCGTAACTGTGCCTCATTAGGAACTAAAAACTAGACACATAAGAAATACTACAACTTTATTGAGATGTAATTAATGTATAATAAACTGCACATATTTATATAATTTGATGGCTTTTGACATATGTATACACTCATGAAACCATCACCACAATCAAGATGACAAACATTGCCTTCATTCCCCAAAGTTTCCTTGTGGCCCCTGGTATCCTTTCCTCCCTCTACCCTTGTCTGCAGACAACCACTAATCTGCTTTCTGTCACTATAGAGTATTTTGCTTTTCCTAACATTTTATGAACATGAATTATAGAGTAGGTACTTTTGTGTGTGTGTGGGGGGGTTGCAATCTTGTTTCACCTGGCACAATGACTTTGACACTCATCCAGGTTGGAGGAATCAATGGTTTGTTCTGAGTAGTACAGTAACCACCCCCTGCCCTTATCTGCAGCTTTAGTTACCCGCAGTCAATCCCAGTCCAAAAATAATAAATTTCTCCAATCATTGACCTCATATGCTCCTGACATCAACCATTGACATCATCCTGGCTCAATGATGCAGGATCACCGAAAGCAGACGATCCTCCTGACTTATCCTCAGAAGGTCAGTAGTAGCCTAACACTGTGTCATGATGCAAATGTCACTTACTTCACTTCACCTCATTATGTAGGCATTTTGTTATTTCACATCATCACAGAAAAGGGTGGGTTCAGTACAACAAAATATTTTGAGAGAGAGAAATACCACATTCATATAACTTTTATTATAGTAAATTATTATAATTATTCAATTTTATTATAAGTTAATTTCTTACTGCACCTAATTTATAAACTAAACTTTATCATAGGTAGGTATATATAGAAGAAAACATAGCATATATTATATATATACTATATATATAGTTCATTAAGAACCATATAGTTCATACCATTTCATATATAGTTCATATATGTACATAGTTCGGTATGAACCATATATATATGGTTCAATATATATGGTTCATCTATATGGTTCAGTATGAACCATATATATATGGTTCACATATATATATGGCTCAGTACTATTTGCAGTTTCAGGCATCCACTGGGAGTCTTGCACGTATCCCTGAGGATAAGGGGAATCCCCTATGGTACGTCATATGGTTATGGCACAATGTGTATCTATTCACTGATGATAAATATGTGTTTAAATGTACACTTTTTTGTTAAAAATAATTTTCCTACTGTGAAAAATAATACATGCTTGTAAAGAATTTTTAGCATTACGGAGAGTGAAATTCTTTCTAATCACAGACCCTGGAGGGAATCATTGTGCGAAGTTTGATATATTATCTTCTAGAACTTTGTCTATTATTAGGACTTTGGAGAAAATCAATGACATATCTGAGTTTGGGACCAATCACAGGAATCAGAGGTGATTTATTTAGCTTTATGACTGATAAAAGCAGGCTTGGAGCATGTGGATTCACTATGAGGCCCCAGTGAGCTTTCTGGTGATTTCACTCCTGAACTTGCCAACCTACTTGGGCATGGCACAGCTGCTCAACCACAAGGCTCCTCTGGATGATTACTGCCTGGCCTCGGCCTGATCAAAATACCCTCTCTCTGGGGTCCCACAGACTCCCAAAGGGAGAGAAAAAGGACATGAACCAAAGAAGCTCAGTTCCTTTTTCCAAACTGACTAGTCAGATAAGGTACATGGGTGTGTATGTGCAGAGTGGTCAGGACTGTCGCTTCAGCTGAAATTTCCCTACTTGGACACAGGAAGTCAGAGGACAGAGTTTCTTCCCTAGCTCAGACTGCAGTAGATTGCATT